TCAGTTACAAACCACCTTTATGTGTTTTCCCTTCTTTTTTTTTGACTCATCTTCCTTTTTCCTTCACTCCTGAGGTTGTATTTCCCGACACCCAGTAGAACATTTGCAACTGGATTTACCTCAAGCTTTGTTTCCACAGGCTAAAACTAAAGGTAATAATAACCCTGTGATGAAGTCGGTACTATTATTATTCCCTCCTTTTACAAACAAGTAAATTGAGGCACAGAAAGGATAGGTAACTTGTCCAAGATCTTACAGTTTGGAAATAGAGCAGCAGGATTTGAATTCCGACTCCAAAGCCCATGCTCTTAACAACTCTGCTATTATTATTCCTAGGGGAGATTGGTATGGCTGCCTGTCAGCTTCTTCTTCCTAGATTTTGATTCTGGAGACAAGATTTCTTGCCCTTGTTATGAGTTTTGGCACTTCCAGGGTTCATGTTTCATTGGGGCTTGGTTGTGGGACTTCATTGGTATATTTGTACTGTGAAAAAAGATATGAACCAGTTTGGATGAGGAGCAGTTGTAAGGCATAGCAAATTAGAAATAGGAGCTATAGCCATTCTTAACAGCTGGGTAGACAGATATACTCAGCGAAGGGAACATTTCTGATGGGGACAAGATTGCTCTCCAGGCTGTGATATGAACTAGGGGAACTTTAGACTTCAACCTGCCTATCACTAGACAGAAAAGAAAGTTTGACCCCTTCCATTCCCCACTCACTGTTAACATGGCAGGTGTGTCTTTGATTGCTAAAGGGTGGCCAAATCTATTACAATGATGACATATAACAGGATGGAAGCAACCTTTCTAGTTCCTATGCATGTGCGTGCATGTGTGCACATGCACACACACACAGACACACACACACACACACGAAGAATACTATTTTTGAAGTTTGAAAGTGTATGAGGAAGAAGGTGGAAAGACAATTAATGTTGATTCTATAGTTCAACAAATGCTTATGGATGATCTGCTTTGTAACCTATGTATCCTGTGATAGACCCTGGGGATTCAAAGGTGAATATGATAGGGTCTCAGTCAGGATAACCAACTCTCTTGGTTTGTCTGAGACTGAGGGGGTTATCAGGGTGCAGGACTCTCAGTGCTAAACTGGGAGAATTCTCAGCAAATTGAAATAAATTGATTACCCTCCCTGTCCCCAAGGGGCTCACAGGCTAAAAAGGAAGACAGTTATGCAAATGCATGGTTATGAAATAGTGTGATAAGTGAAATTATGTAATAATAACAGTAAGATTATACTTCTATAGCACTTTCTGTGAGCCAGACACTATTTAGAACATGGTTTGTCTTGGCCTATTCAGGCTGCTATAACAAAATACCACAAACTGAGTAGCTTATAAACAATAGAAACTTATTTCCCATAGTTCTGGAGGCTGGGGAGTCCAAGATCAAGGCACTAGCAGATTTTGTGTCTAGTGAGTGCCTAATTTCTGGTTCATAGATGGTGCCTTCTCACTGTGTCTTCACATAGTGGAAGGGACTAGCTTGTTCTATGGGGTCTCTTTTATTAGTGCACTAATCTCAATCATGAGGGCAGAGCCCTTATGACCTAATCACCTCCTGAAGGCCTCACCTCCTAACACCATCATCGAGGGGTTTAGGATTTCAATGTATGAATTTGGGGGGGACATAGGCATTCAGTCTATTACAGTACCTTTACATGTATCAACTTACTGAATCCCACAATAGCCCTGTGAAAGAAGAACTATTATAATCAACATTTTACATAGTAAGAAATGGAGGCACTACTAAAAGGAAGATCTAGGATTCAAACCCAGACAATATGTGTCTGGATCTGAGATCTTAACCTCTAAACACTTCTGTCAAGTCTAAGACACAGAGTAAAACTGAGGGGTGAGTAATTAACTTGTGGGAGACAGAGGTGGGGTCATGGGAGATGAGGTGTTGGGGAGATGGGTTAATAAGAAGATGCTTGAGAAAGATTTTGAATGATGAATGAAGAATAAACTAGCAGGAGGGAAAGACAAAGACATTCCAGGTATAAAATCCAGGTTAGGACATGGGGATGGGAAATGTCATCTGTGTTGCTGGTGGGTCACTGCCAGTGAGGGTCCCAATGGAAATTTTCTGAGCTCTGACACTCATAGTGGTATGTTTTCTCAACCATGCCAGGACCGTGGGAAAGAAGCCTGGAGAGGTATCAGGGCTGACCATCAAGGACCTTGCTCGCCATGATAAGGAGCACAGACTTTAACCTGTACCCAACAGTGAAGCACTAGAGACCTTAAGTCAAAGCTGAGATTTGCATTTTTAGAGAATTACCCTGGTTGCAGCCAGAGGATCATTTGAAAGGGGAGGGGTGTGAAACAGTGACAGGAGATAACCAATATGAAGCTCTTGAAAAAGCTCCTGGGAGAGTAGATGACTTCAAATCCAGCATGTAGCAGTGGGGATGGAAAGGGCTGGACAGATGCAAAAGATGAAGGAATTAAAATAGACCAAACTTGGTTAGTGATTGGATGGAAAGACTAAGGGGGTCAGAAGATAACTTCTGTGAGCCTTGTTGATTGACTGGGTGCATGATGGATCCACCAGTAATTAAAAATAAATAAAAAAATAAAAATAAAGGAATGTGGTAGGAAAAGTGTGTTCAGAAGGGGAAAAGATAGTGAGTTTGGCTTTCTACAGTGTGACTCTCAAGGGCCTATAAGAAATCTAGATAGTATTGTCTAATCCAAGTATTCTATAAAAAGAAGGAAATAACTTCCTTTTAATAAAGGCTACTTAGTTTTCTGACCAAGAGTGAAATAATAATAATTATAAGGGAAGTTCTTAGAGACAGTTATGAAATAAATAGAAAGCGGAATAATTATTATAATAATAATTCACCATCCTTAGGGTTGATCCTGATGTAGAAAAAAATTTAATACATTCATTTATGATAAGGTATCAGGCTTAATTTATTATTCCTGCTGAGAATGTTTGTATTTTATAAAAAACAGCAGTACTTAACTGAATCCATGATGAAAGAATTTCAGGTACTCTAATCCTAGGGGTGCAACAATTTTGGGTGGCAGTGAGCCTTCTAGAACCCTTCAAATCATAGTACATTTGCAGCTGCTAATTCCAAACGCATGAGTGTGGGGGCAATATGAGCAACTGAAAGTTGCCCTAAGTTCTATACATGGATTCTACCCCTATACAAACTACCCCACAAAAAATACTTGCATGTTTGATTCAAAACATTTAAGTTTGTTAGGATCTCAGGATCAAAAGCATAGAACATCACTTACTCCTAATCAATATTGAAAATAATCCTGATTATTTGCACGACCTATTTATTTGAACTTGAGTTTTTTTTAATGCCATTTTTCAGCTCTCTTCTCACCTTCTAATCCTCTAAATGTGATCATGCTTCCTTGAGAGTGCTCTGTGTCCCTTAGATGGGGGAAGAGACATGCATCTCCTAATCCCCACATAAACTCTCATCTGTGGGTTTCTGATGAATCGTCTCTGGATTAAAGTGCATGAACTTTAATCCGGATTACCTAATGCACCCTTTAACAAAATAGCTTATTGTAGTATCTCAAGAATACATTGATTGAGCTTAGCACATCTTCCTGGAAGCAATCAGGAAATAGAAGGAATGGAGATCGAGGGAGACTAAGGAAATTTCCCAAAGACACAAACTTAGCCTGCGAATTGAAAAAAGTGTCCTACTATCTTGACATTTCTCCAGTCCCCTAACCAGTAGGCAATTCTGTCTTCTTCCTTTTAGAATGCTATCATTTTTGAAATAGCCAAATGACATGGGAGAATGATCCTGCTCTTGTGATTGAGTGGCCTGGGGATCCTTTCTACTAGGCAAAACTTCACCCATCTCTCAGATTTCCTAACTTTGGTTTTTATTTAGAGAAGCATGCTGCTCACTGTTCTAACATCATCCATCTTTGTCAGCACCCAAGGCCACAACTTCGTCTGATCGGCCAGTGATATACTGCAGAGAGAGTGCACCAAAGACATCAAACTCTATATGACATTTATATGGACTCTGAACTCACCGGAGATGGATTGATGCTGCCATAAAGCCTTGTGGTAGCCAGGCAAACAAAAGACTAGGGAGACTGCTTGGGGGTGGGGGGTAGAAAAAGCAGTATTTTTTTCCCATTCACTTTCCCTCTTTGCCGAGGTTGGTTTACATCTTATTTAGGAAATAAAGAAATCAAGTAAGTATGGAGATTTCTGGAGCCCAGCACAGAAGCAGACTCAGCCTTGATTATCAATGGTACTCTCTGTGGCCCTGGCTGGGCCAACAACCAGCACAACAAATACCCCACTTTGAACCCAGTGCACCCTAACCAACCATATATCTTAATGGAATAAAGACTTAAGGGACATGGATGCAAAAGTGGCAGTGGATCCAGCAAGGGTTTGAAGGCTTGTCCTTTGTGTTTCCTTGGCAGGTGTCCTCAACATCATGGTCATCATATTATTTGTGGGCACGCTCACCAGAATGGACAGACTGCTGGCATTCTACTCTGCGTGCCCAGCTTGCAAACTGGATTAGACATAGCAATATGCCTGGATTTGGATTCAGGATTATTAGCATGATGGGATGAATCTTTTCCTGATCCAACAGGTATTTTGTAGGTACTCAGGAACCTGACTGGAAAATGATTTTATACAAAAAAACAGGAATTTATTTTTCATAGCTAATGCTAATCAGTTATGCAAGCACTTAATGTGATTAAGCTTACTGCAAACAAAATGCCTAATGATTAGAAATGGGGCTTCCCCACCCCCATCCTTGTTTCTCCACATGGGTGTGTATGTGCTATTGCAGACCACAGTGTATGTGTTCGTGTGCATTCTTCATGGACTGCCTGCAGCTAACTTTGGAAGATGCAGATTTTTACATGTCATTTAAACCACAGCAACACAGACATTTAAAAAATAATCAGTGTCTAAAAAAGCCCCACATTCACATGAAGAAAGACAATAATAAATTTGACTTACCAGCTTAGGTTGTTCGAGGCAGCAGAGGAACAAGTTGTTGGTAATTGTCCAGTGCTTTCATTCAATAAATCACATTGGCTTTGCTTTCTCCTGTGGCTCAGCCTCTGCGCAAAGCAAGCAAACCTCCTTCCTATTCTGTGCAAAGAATAAAACGCGAACAGGATCACAACAGGCAAGAGCCGAAGTCCATGATGAGGAAGCTACTCTTAATGCAAAATAAAAGAGCAAATGATGCACAGGGAGTAAAGGGGAGAGGGAAACAGCTTGGCTCAGAATCTAGGTGTATTCTCAACACTGCAGCCTGGAGAAGGCTTGATTTCTCAAGCTCATGTTCATGAAGTAAAAGGATGCCATGACTTCAGTGTGTGTTTAGCATATTTTATCTGTGGGACCATTCACAGCGGCATGCAGGAACAACAAAACAAGCTTCACGGCAAAGAAGCCTAAATGGGAACTGACTGTCACTCAGGGGTGAGCATAGGGGCAGTGAGTTAGTTGGTTAGCTTTGCACTGCAGCTGGGGAAGTAATATAGCTGGGTTTCTGAGAGCCCATCCAGCAATCTGTGACTGCAAATTATCTACAACTCTTCTGGGACCAGAAGCACACAGGTGGCAGCCATGTCCTCTCACCACCTGTTCAGTCCCTCACAAGCTCCCAGCAGGAGCCAGGGGGCATCTTAAGAAAATTCTAAATGTAGTCAGGGCTACTTAACCTGTACTCTGGTTTTTGTCTGAGCAGGTTCTGAGAAAGGAGTCAGCAGACATGGGACTTAGGACACCAGGAGGCTTAGTCTCAGGAGGAAGATTCCAGTGCTGCTTCTATGCCAACCATACATGTGCGTACCTAGCTCCTTCCTGGCGTTATGCTCTGTGTGACTAACAAAACACACAAAGCGGATTTCCTAGAAAGCTGCATATGTAGGCATTTTTCATGTTTCTGTCTGAAATAAAGTGGCAAATGACCTTCACAGGCTGCTTTTTATGTTAGCGAGGCCTTGCTGATTGAGAGCACATATAAATACCACAGACACACACAGACACACAGACACACACACACACAGACACACACACAGACACACACACACACACACACACACACACCCTAGCAACAGCATTAGAAATCTTTTGAAAGCTCTATTCAGATTCTCTCTTTGCCAAATGAATGCTAATCTGCTGTGATGACTTTAGATGCCTTCTACTAGGCACTGACTCTGGTCTGTTTTTCTTACCTGGAGCCAAATCAACTCCTGAGTTTTGAATGTGATGCTGTAGCAAATCAGGAGAAAGCCTTTTGGTCATAAACAAGAGGGTGGAGTGCTAATCTTTAGCCTGGTAATTACTTAGAATCCTAGGAATGGCATCTTGTATTCCTGACAATCTTCCACTTTCTAGAGACATCACCTCCCCTTGGCAGCTCACTCACTCCCAACAATTGGCTGCTCTGGAGCTGGAGTCTGAGTCAAGACTCAGTGATTCATAAACCTGGGTGTTCAAAGGAAGAGCTCAATTTAGCTTTTCACAATTGTCTTACTTTTTCTTTTCTTCTTAGAAAGGCAAAATTTCTCTCTCTGGAACATTTATTTTTCCTTTCTCTCCTTGGGCTTACTAGTCCATGGAAGCATTGCTATAAATAATTTAATTTGAAGATATTCATACCTTTGAGGTTCAGAAGGCTTTTTTATTTATTTTTTCATCAAGGATTAAGAAAGAGTCAGGCTACCTTTTTGCAGTTTAAGCCTAAATGGTTGCCAGGTAAAACTTTAAACTTTACCTTTCTGTCCAGAAAAACTTTGACTTAATGCAGATTTACTCAAATTCCATCTGCAGGGGTAAATCGGGTGACTCTGAGTAACTCTAGGTTAGGGGGCTGCTTTCTAAGGGTCATGGGGTCAATCTGCTTTGCAAACCTAAGGGGATAATGCCTCTCGTGATAGTAACACCACTTCCTGGAGCAAATATTCAAGTCTGAGTCAAAAAGCTCATGGCCCTTGCAAAGGAGATTCATTCATTCATCCACTCATTGGTCAATCCACTCTTCAATGGACATTTATTAAGTACTTAGTAGGTTAATACTCCATGCCACATACTTTAATGTTACCCAAAGCCTATTGATGAAGTATAAACTTCTTGACACATCTTAGCAAGATTCTGCGTATTTTGGCCCTGTCTACCCCTCTAGCCTAATTTCTCACCACCTGCCTACTTGCAATGCATGCTGCAGCATTTTTGAATATCTTTCAGTTCTTGGACATGCCATACTGTCTCTTAACTCCAGACATTTGTATATGATGTTCTGCCTGCATGCTCAGTCCCCTTTGTCTGATGATCTCCTGTATAGCCTTAGAGTCTTGCCTTAAACATCTCCTCTCAGGGATATTTTTGTAGCTGCTAGGCTGTTAGGTTCCCTGCTCTGTGGTCTGAGAGTGCGGCAGCTTCTACTCTCCTATTGTTATGTCCATCACATTTTATTGTACTACATGTTTAGTATCAGTCATCCCCGTTATAATACATCCCCATCACACTGTGAGAGTTTAAGTGTGAAGTCTCTTATTCACTGCTGTATTTCCAGTGTCTCGCAGAGAGAGTTCCTGACACATAATAGAAGATATTCAATAAATTTTAGTGTTTTCTTGAAGTGCTTAGCATGTATTTATTACATGAATGAATAAACTACCTCAAGGAATAACCGAGGTCTCAGAATTGAAAGGAACATTAAAGTTCTCTCGGTGTGTCTAAATTTTCTTGTCAAGTGGACGTCCACTGAAGGTTCACCTCCTCCAATTAATCCTTTTCAATTAATATCAACCCATACTGATCACACTCTTACTTTGTCCCCCACTCCCTAGCAGTTTTACAACATGTTCTTGCTTTTTGTTCCTCAGCTGTTTCCTAGAGTTTGTCTCATCTCTGCAAACTGGTATTCTCCATAACTCCTGACATAAGCCTGCAATTATCTGATGCTTGATTCATTGAACAGCAAACGTTTGAACAGGGAGTTAAATGATCAGAGTCTTGTCTTAGGGAGATTATTCTGCTCTTGGGCGAAGGGTGGGTTAGATCAGCCAGACCTAAGAAGACCCTGACAATAACTACAGAACAGAGATGGGATTTAAAAGCAGCTTTGTCCTTTCTTCCCCTGCCCCCCCCCCCGCCCCGCCCATGTCATAATACCAGTGTTCTCATTTGGAACACTAAGAATATTTGTTCCTTACTTAGAACTTCCCCTCCACCCAATTCCACCCTCACAATTATTTCCCTTGCTTAGGTTATTTGTGAACATGTCTCACTGATTAGATTAAAAGCTCCTTTGAAGACAGATTGCAATTTATTTTGTATTTTCTTCCTCCAGTCCTTATACTTCCTAGACTAGTGCCTTGCAGATAGTAAGTGCTCAATAAATGTTAAGAAAGAAAAGCACTTATTATGTGCAAGGCAATGGAAGAAACAATATGGTAGGGAGGGGTACAAAGATGAATGAGGTGTCTTTTCAAAGATAGAGGAGATGTACTTAGTGAGATGTCTTTAGAGATGCCACTGATTACAGTACAAGGAAGAATTAAATAAGTGCCATAAAAAAATATAAGTAACATGTTAAGTGAGCACCAAAGAATGATTACTTCCTTCTGGAATGCTTGGGGAAGACTCGCAAAGAAGGCTGCATTTGAACTGGATCTGGAGGAATGAAGACCTCTACAGGTTGAAAAGGAGAGATGGGAATGCAGTTAAGGCACAGGGCTCCTGGACTATTTGGGGAATGACAAGAGTCTGGTGGACTGGAGTGACAACTGGATCTGGAGGAATGAAGACCTCTACAGGTTGAAAAGGAGAGATGGGAATGGAGTTAAGGCACAGGGCTCCTGGACTATTTGGGGAATGACAAGAGTCTGGTGGACTGGAGTGAATGGTGACGGGAGGATCTAATGGAACTTGTCTTAACAAGTAGGCAGAGGCTAGGTTGAGGAGGGCGGGAAAGCTATTTTAAAGCATTTGGACTTTATGTGATAGGTGACAAAGGTTTGGGCAGGACAATGTCAGTACAGTTGTTTATGTTCCCTCTGGTCTAGCCACCACAGACAATGAACTGAAGTGGTGAGCAAACCTGGAAGCAGGAAGACACTGATGGTGAGGGCCTGTGCAAATGTAAATTAGGAGAGGAAAGTGGGACACATTTTGAAGGTAGAACTTATAGGACTTGTCAATGGTACAGGTGAAAGTAGAGCATGAGAGAGAGAGAGAGAGAGAGAGAGAGAGAGAGAGAGAGAGAGAGAGAGAGAGAAAGAAGCTGAAGGTGACCTTTAATGTTTTAACCCACATGATGGCAGATTATGGTGATGTTGATTGATTCCAGCACACATATAGAGATAATTTGGGCATTCGTGCTATGGTCTCTGCACTTTTTAAGGATAGAACAGAGGGCTGAGCCCTTGGAGGTAAGTGAATGTGCCTTGACTGCTTTGAAGAGCCATTCAGTACCAGGTAAAGAAGTGAGTCCAGGTCGTGACAATGAACTGCCTCTAGCAACATGCCCGGCCATTGCAGGGGGAATAAGTACAGAGTTTCCCTAGGAAGAACATTTCCCCATTCAATGTGAGAATCTGCAGTTTCCATGGGAGCTGTTTAGCTCAGTGGAAAGAACCTTTTTGGGAATGGGGAGTTTGAGTTGGAGTTCTGAGCTGCTCCTCACCAGCTGTGTGACCTTGGGCAGGTGACTTCTATCATGAGACCTCAGTTTTCCCACTTATGAGGGAGTTGGACCAGTTAAATTCAAAAGTTCCTTTTAGTACACTGTTCTCTGATTTGTGAAATGCAGTGTTTAAAATTTCAGAATGCTTGTGAAATAGGCCAAAGCCCACCAAGATCAGAAGCCAGTCATCTCCACTCTCCCCTCCAAAATCCTGCCCGTATTTTGAGATTGTCCATATATCACTGCAAATGCATGAGTTCCCTGCTGTTAGTTCCATGTGGTTTGTTTGTAAGACATAAATTTAAACTGATCACTTTTGAATGGCTATTTTCTAACAATTTTTCACTCTCTTTTTCAGCAACTTTATTTTTATTTTTTTTAGGGAGTTCCTTTTCATCAGAATGTCAAAATTAAACTATGAGAAGAAAGTGGCAGTCCCTCACTGTGGTCA